GGGGGGGGTCGTTTGATAATAAATTGCCTAACAATTTAAATTTTATCTTTGACAGATAGCCATAAAAGAGCTTTACAAGTACTGGGACAAGAAGAAAGATGGATCGGATCGGGTTTTGGTGGACATGAAGCAGTGGTTTGGGGACTTGAATTTGAATGTTGTTCTCAGAATGGTTGCTGGGAAGAGATATTTTGGTGCAACTGCTGACAACGATAAAATAGAAGCAAGGCAGTGCCAGAAAGTGATGAGGGATTTCTTTCATTTGGCTGGAGTTTTTGTTACAGATAAAACAATCCCTTTTCTTGGATGGTTGGATTTAGGTGGATACGAGAAAAGAATGAAAGAAACGGGACAAGAAATGAATAAAATTGTCGGCAAATGGTTGGAAGAGCACAAGCAAAAGGCAAATTCCGGTAGTAATCAGGATTTCATGGATGTGATGCTTTCAACTTTAGAAAAATCAGGCCTTCAAAATTATGATCGAGATACCATTACGAAAGCAACATGCACTGTAAGTTTTCTCAGCTAGTATTTTTGTCTTCAATTATTTCAGAAACTGAAACTGAAACTGTTCGTGTTGCCGGATTCTCAAATTGTGTGTTCTACTTAACAGTTAGTCTGTGTTTTATAAACTTTCAACATGACAGCATCTTATCGGATCATCGAATCCGCAATAAGCCCAAATTGAAGAGGCTCGTATATGCAGCATGTTGTAATATGTAGCTTATATAGAGTAGAATGGTGTATAATAGAAAAAATACGTACAGAGGTATTTTTGGATTTTTCCTTAAAGTCTTGTACGGGGGCAAGATTATATATGATGTAACCTATTATTCATACATGATACAAATCATAACCACTTCGCTCTCGTAGATGTAGGCCAATTGCTAAACCACATAAAACATTTTTTTTTTTCTTTCTTCGTTGATTGCATATTTTTCGTCACTACTGTTGCGCATGTCACAGCACATCTTTTAGATAAATGTATTATCTTTCTTAGAAAAATCATAATCTTTCTTGCTAGCATACTTAATTTGTCTTTATATTTCTTCAGAGTTTGATTTCTGGTGGAGCAGACACCTCCACTGTTATGCTAGTATGGGCAATATCTTTGTTATTGAACAACCCCCATGTATTGAAAAAGGCTCAACAAGAATTAGACATCCATGTTGGAGAAGAAAGGCAAGTGACGGAATCAGATATTAGTAAACTGGTTTATCTTCAAGCCATTGTCAAAGAGACTTTACGATTATACCCTGCCGGTTTCCTGGGTGGCACAAGAGAATTCTCCCAAGATTGCAAATTATCCGGTTATCATATTCCAAAAGGTAAGAGCAGTGGTCCAAGTTCTTATAAGCGATGAAAAATTCAAATCCTTATATGTAAAATGTGCAATTTAATCCTTGACAGGTACAGTACTAATTGTAAACATTTGGAAATTACAAAGAGACCCCCGAGTATGGTCCGACCCGTTGGAGTTTAAGCCAGAGAGATTTCTCACGACTCATAAAGACTTCGATGTTAAGGGTCAGAATTTTGAACTGATCCCATTTGGAGCTGGTCGAAGGATTTGCCCTGGCACAACTTTTGGCATTCAGATGTTAAACTTGGTCCTCGCTAATTTGTTGCACGCATTTGAACTTTCAACTCCCTTTGATGACAAAGTTGATATGAGTGTGAGTGCTGGACTGACAAATATGAAAGCAACCCCTCTTGATGTGATCCTTCGCCCGCGATTATCTCCAAGTCTGTATTAAGTAGAAAGACATAANAAATGGATAATGAACGTTGAACTATTTATATAAGACAATTTAGGCTACACTGCTTAAACGTTGATGTGCAACGTAAGAAAATGGCAGGTTAAATATTATAGGTAAAATCACTTTTACAAAAAGGTATTGATAGAAGTCGTGATATAATGGGTGTTTGTAAGATATGACTAAATAAAAAATTTGATTGTATTTTAAACAGTTCAATAATAAAATATCACGTAACATTATTTCAAGAATTATTTCAATCTTTCTGACACTGTAGCATGATTTGAATATCTCGGAATTAAGACCTTGTTAGCCTAAGCTTAAAAGCTGTATTTATATGCTCCAAGCTATATATGCAGCCCAATAACAAAAAACCAGTCCGCCCTCATTCTCTAGCCAAGACAGCCATGGAATTCACACACTTACACTTAAGTTCTTCCATAGCTGCAATATTTGCGTTGTTTTTTATTTTCTTTTGGAGGTTCAGGTACAAAGCTAGCAAAAACTGTCCACCGCCGGAAGCTGGTGGCGCGTGGCCCATCATAGGCCACCTCCACCTCATAGGAGGCGGCTCTCGGCTTCCACACATCACCTTGGCCGAAATGGCAGACAAGTTTGGACCAGTGTTTACAATCCGACTTGGAGTACACAAAACCGTAGTGGTGAGCAGCTGGGAATTGGCTAAAGAATTGTTTACCACCTGGGATGTGGCTGTATCTTCCCGTCCAAAATTTCTCGTATCCAAACACTTGAGCTTCAACTTCGCCATGTTTGGATTCTCCCCATATGGCGAATATTGGAGGGAACTACGCAAACTAATAGCCATGGAATTATTCTCTCCCCGCAGACTGGATCTCCTTAAACACATACGTGTTTCAGAAATTGAGGTATCATAAAATTAAAAGCTTAACGTTTTAGAGAATGATTTTTCTTCGACAAATGCTTCATGTAGAGACCCAATTCGTTTTTTGATACACGTGCACAATTTTAATAAATGAATAGCAGTGAATTTAAGTCTATTTTGTATCCTTATCAGCTCATCTTAAAGCTGAAGCGATCAAATAAGTAATTACATTTATTTATTTATGTTGAATGTCTATTGAGCACCAAAACTTGCCCAGGCTCAGTTTCTTCTAACTATTAACACTACAACCCGACAACAATGACCCAAGACAATAATCAAGCTTCCACTTCCGGTTGCCAATGAGATAATTCACTTAGGAGACCACAAAGGTGCACTATATCTCATATATTATCACTACTATAGGTAGAAATCAAAATAAGGCAGAAGATTAGAAGAAAATGCAGTCGGCCGAATCACACAGAGAGAGGCAGGGACGGATTCTCATCAAAGAGAAAAGGAGACCCATTTTATGAAGTAAAAGTGGCCCAAGTATGGTAAGTATAGAGCTAGGTTAATTATTGGGTCAAAGTAGAGGTCCAATAAGTAAGTAAATGGGCTCACAAGTAATCCCTCTCAATTATGGCCATCCAAGAAAGCGGATTGGGCCACGAGCAATACTAAAATATTTAGGTTGCTTCGAATGTCCCAATTAACCTTTGGGTCGTATTGTCTCGATTGTGGTGTTATATTTCCATTTAGTTATTTGGCTAAGCCAGCTGAATACTAAAACCGAATAACATCGTGGTCTGGGGGGGG